ATAGTGATTGCTATTGTAGAATTGGTTTGATAAAGGAACACCTGTGTGGTCAACACTCGCCACAGAGTGGGATGCTGTGAAAAAGACGTAAGGGACCATGGAAAGTGAAGAAGAAACAATACTAGTAATGAAGATACTCATTCCTCTTTATAATTTAGTGGATATGGTTAAGAATAGACTACAAGGGTATTCAAAAACCCTCAGTGGAAGATACTGCCAGATCATGCAAATAATGTGAGATAAAAGTATTGAAGAAGGTCCACATATCAACATATGCAATGTCCTCCAGCAGGCAATTTAACCGAACTGCAAAGAATATAAAAATGCGACAAATCTGAAGAGACACGAGAACACTCCTCACCTTCAAAGTGAGCCAGGAATAAACAATCTGGATCAATTCCGTACCCACCTCGACAAAGTAACCGAGGATAAGTCAGGGGAAACTGAAGAATCTCAATGAATAAAAAGTCATTGTCTTGCACCTCTAAAAGCGTTAGTGCAGGAAACAAAACACTTCAAGACCCTCACTGGACATCACAAATGATCGAGATCCAATCAACCAGATAAGTGAGAAATATTGGTCAGATGAATCTGTGAAAAGGATTTATCACCTTCCACAACTGCCAGTGTCTTAGGGAAGAAGAACCTGTCTGAGTATAGGAGGATGTAGGTAGAAAGATAATGCAATCTGTGCACAATCAGTGGAAACAATTTCGACTGGCAACATCTGCAGGCCAGCAGCAACAAAAATTCAACCTTAAGAGATAGATGATACATGGTACATGACGCTAAAGCCTCAAATGAATGTTGAGAAAGAGCATGAAATACCACCTTAATATACCAGTTAGGTAACTGAAAAAGTCATTTGGGACGAAGAACCCAAAATGACTTAAGAAAAAGTTATAATATTGTCGGAAGAAGGTGCTTATGTATAGGAGCAAGATAGAGGGTGCATTGGCATTGGTGGAAAGTATCACAAGACAGATGTCACCAAGGGCAATTAAGCGGGTAATAAAAGAATGGAGCAAGCAAGTAAAAATCTGACAAATGCTTAGATGGGCAAAGGAAAAAAACCCTATTAGTCAAGTAATAGCTGTAGTGTGAGAAAGGTATTTATGATTTGGAAATAATGAAATAGAAAAATTACTTACCCATTCACAGTTGAACTGAGGTGTTTAGGATGGTAATGGGCAGTAATCGGTATGCCGATGAGGAGAAAATAGCAACAAGATATATGTATAATGAAAAATGACATTGTATGGTGTGATCCACATGCCAGCCTGGATGATTTACTCGTATGGTCAATAGAAGTGTGCAGCCAGGGAGGGAGTGAGGAGCCAGATCTGATAAGAGGACACCTGGAAGATACGCCAGGAATCGGGAAACAAGGAAGAATAAGCCAACCAAATAAGTTGGCAAATCCAACCCATAAGGGTGACATGGCAAATGTTACATGCTTAGTTGTATCACATGCAAACAATTGAGGGTAGGTGGGAATATCAAGATCAGTGGTGAGCAAAAACTGTGCATATAGAGAGCATCACTGAATGAGAAAAACTATTATGTGAGTGCAGGTAAGGTTTCATATCAGAATTAAGATTGTTAAGGTAATTGATAGTGTTGATGCATCATCTTGTTCTATATTTAATGGTAAGACTAGTGGACACAAATATAAGTTTTAGCAGAGAAGAAGTGATCTTCAGCTAAGACAGCTTTATTTTTCTAACAGGGTGGTTGGCCTGTGGAACGTGTTAGCTTCATATGTGATGGATGCAGTTAATATAAGGCAATTTAATGGAAAGCTTGAAAAATGTTTGAATAATAATAATAATAAGGGCTAGCTTTGAGATGTTTTTTTTTTGGTTTAGTTTAATTTAGTGAATAGAACAGCCTAGATGAACCAGAAGGTCCCTTGTCCTTTAATGTTAATATCTTTAATTCTTGAACTTTATTACCCCACTGAATAAAAGTGACTTCCACATCACCACAATAACACCTGTAACAATGATATAGTTTTGGGTGATTACACTGATTAATGTTACAAAAATAACCAGTTAACCAAAATTCATGTCTCCAATTATTACTGTTTTTGATTAATCCAATTATCCAAGTAATCAAAATACTAACATTACAATTTCTCATTCTTATTTTTGATTAATTCAGATTTGTTCAGCTTAATCAATTAGTGTATCTAGTGATTAAAATAATCAACTAATTGAAACTGTTGTTTGTGATTATTATTTTTTATTA